GTTTGAGAAATGTGTCAAATCTAGAGTCACATCAAGGGGAACTCTGATAATGAATGTATTAAAAGAAGACTATATAAGTATGGTATAGATATTTTGAAATTAAAGAATTATAATGGTGTATATTTGGATCGTTTATTTTATTTAGAAAAAAAAAAATCTGTAACTGCTCTGTCAAAAGCTTTATTTTCCAAATATGTGAATTTAGCATTTGAGTAATTAAATCCATGGCTTTCACATGCTGTTCTTGTCTTGCATTGTGTATTTTATGCTGGTTTCGTCTTGCAGTGTAAATGCATAATAAAAAAAAGGGGGAGGGGGAGAAAAGAAAACATAGTTTCTATGTAATAAACTATTGATTACAAACTGTCAGATAATAAAGAACTGCAAATTAACATTTCACTATCGTTTCTGTGATTTATCAAGTTTTTATTCCTACAGTTAAACTAAAAATATAAATAATAGTATTATATTTGATAGGTTTTTGCTCTTAATGGGAAAACCTAGAAATACTTTGGCATGAATTATTATTTAACGACACCTGGCTGCTTCTTGCTTTACATTTGTCTATCGCAAGAGGGAGCTGTCTAGCTGTTTTAGCCCGCCTCGTCATGAAATCACAGCATATTTATTGAATTTTTTTTGAGAGAATAAATCTTCTTAAGGTTCTCTTCCTGTCACCAATCTCTGTTTTGAGACGTTATTCGGTCTTAAAAACAAGCTAAAGCTCACAAACAACCTCAAGACATTTTTATGACACTAAATGCACTACAGAAACTCTATTTAATGTGCTTTATTGAAAATAAATAAATAAATAAATCAGAAATCAGCCATTTTTGAAACTGTTACTCTGCGTAATCATCGCTTAACTGAGTAGAAAAGATAATATAGAAATTAAGTTTCTATATTATCTACTTTTAAAAGATCTACTTTTTGCAGCGTGTGCTGTTTTGAAATAACCCCGAGAAAAGCTGTGCATAAGAGAGAAATGTTAAGCTGTGAAAGAGAACACGAGTTTGCTGGGACACGCTTTCTTCTGTTCAGGTAAGAAGATGCGATCAAATCCAGGATTCAACATTCCAGCACAAAAGCTGGAAAGCCGAAAGCTGGAGGACAAACAAACGGAGGTACCGTAACCAGACCAGCAGGTGTCAGTATGAGTCTGAAGACACGTCCGGATCGTTACCTTCACCAGAACACACACTGAAATAAGGGGGCCCTCGAAGAGTTTTATAAAGCATAACGTGAATGTGCGTGTTTATATGTTAAAATCAGATTTTCAGAGTATGGATCACTCTTTGTCTCCTCTGACGGTACCTGTTCAATATCTGCATAAGTAGTGCTGCTGGACTGTATGATGCATATTTGTCATAATGTGCACATTAATGCATTAGTAAAGCTTTTAAAAAAGTCTCCACATTTGTCTCAATGCTGACTCTCCATTATTTGACCATCCATCATATGTGTGGCTTGAGACATGCCTGCATCTACTTTCCCACTCGGTGTCCCGCTGCATCCGCTTTCTACTGCATGATCCCCCAGTTTTATCTCCCCTTCACTGTCAGGCACCTTTGACCCCAGTGCCTGCATCTACGCAGTCTGAGGAAAGCCGCAAACCTTGGCCACAGTGATTCCACTGAATGTTAATCTTAATTACAGCAGGGCGGAGACATTGACATTTTTCTTGGAGTCGAAGGAATTACCCCTATTCTTGTTCAGTCTGCGTCCTGTGTGTAAACATTGTGATTGTAGGTTACAGTGCGTAAACGTGGAAAATGCCCATGGAAGTGTTCCATATTTTGTGACTCTCACCCTCTTATTCTCCCTTCAAGCACTTTCATAAAACGTCTCTGGGCCTTTTTTTTTTCATGGGCGAAGAGGAGGAGCAAGGGGTGGGGTGGGTGTAAGGGGCGTGCTTTAGTATATAATACCTCTCCCTGAGAAGTTTTGCCTGTCGCCTAGTCTTTGGGACAGCTTCTCACTCACCATCTCTATAGTTTAACCAACTGGGAAACTAACTCACCTGCAATTTCTCCAACCAAATAACTCCCAACATTTTTGACTACTGCCATCTGACATGGAAACCCAGCAAAGATACGGACATCACTCACTTTGCCACACCTGCCGGAGAACGCAGAACAGCCGAATGAAGGTAACCAAAGAACAAGCAAATTGTTTTATACTCTCCGGCTCTGCCGTGTGCGTAATGAAAGACGTCTGACAGGGTTATAGCGGTGTTGTCTTGGTTTTATAAGTAGGAAAACCAGTTCGGGTTCTGTAGATGCAGTGCTCGCATCAGTTTTGTGCAGTATGAGAACCGGGACATCTTTTGATTTGTATGCAGCAGAGAAAGTTCAAGATGCATAAACGGCGAGGAGAAGCTTTGAGGCGTTTGGGGTAGAAAAAGAACAAGTAATTTTAGTCTTCTCGCGCCTGGATGGTGTCGTGGACACGGAGCAAACAGCTGATTTTTTAACCGGCAGATAGGGGGCGGCAGGTTTGAGGGTCAGTGAGCTCATTCCGGGGTGAGCAAAGGGAAAATATATGCTGAGTTTGGTGTTTTCGGCTAGTTAACTATCGAGCAGCCGGCCTTGCAACTTCAGGAGGGTTGTGTAAGAGTGGGAAGCTGGTGATACTGGCGACTTGTTTTTTTCCTCCAGAATAAGCACTTCTTCAGGTGCGACAGACATGACAGCAGCTGACAATAGCGGGCGGGGAAGGTGAAGAGCGGGTCTGCATATTGCGACATGATTTGAGATGATTTTCTTTTTCTGAATTTCTACTTTGTCGAACATTTGAGCACGTACACCGTACACACCGGGAGCCTGTGATGAAGACGGTACCCTCTTCGTCTGAAAAACAAAAAAACAAAACAAACAAACAAACAAAAAAACAACCCAGTGGCTGATTTTGATTAAAAAATGGTATTTAAAATGTCATTAGCTGTTATTTTGTTAATGATTTCTGTATGCCACAACTTTCTGCATGTCATGGCTACATTTGGTGACCCCCATGCTTCATTCCGCAGGTCAAGAGGATGTCTTCGACGAGTCGCGCGCTGCTCTTTGCACTGGCCCTGACGCTCTACGTAGTGGAAATGGCCTCGGCGGAGACGCTGTGTGGGGGAGAGCTGGTGGATGCGCTGCAGTTTGTCTGTGAAGACAGAGGCTTTTATTTCAGTAGGTTTCAAAGCATTACAAGTTTTCACGACGGGCTGCGTGAATGCTCATTTGCCTGTTGAATCTCTCTGTTGTTTGCTTGCACACATCTGTTTGGAGCAGAGGTGGGGAAGTAACGGAGTACAAATACTTCGTTACTGTACTCGATTAGAGTTTTCAGGTAGAACTTTTGCTCCCTACATTTTTAAACACATATCTGTACTTTCTACTCCTTACATTTTCAAAACAAGCTAGCGACTTTTGCTTTAATCCATTTGAGGGTGGTTATTATTTCACGTCATTGAGCCTTCAAACATCAAACCGCAATCACATTTGCGTATTAATCACCAGTGGATGTCGCCCAAAAAGAGATAAAAGAGACAAAACCGAGTACCATAGTCAGTGGTTAAAGTTGGAAGGTTTTTTTTTTTATTTGTTTCTTCTTTTTTTTACTTGTTTAGGACAAACAGGTGAGTTTGCTGTACTGTGATGGATTTTAAGTAAAGAACAATGTGTGACTGGTACACAGTGGCTGTGTGCTCATGGTCAGAGGGAGGTTACATCAAGTGCAGCTGATGTTGGTGGGATTTATTCACTGAATTCTACCTTCATATCAACTGTATATTGTCTATTAATAAGGACAGCATAAACAGTGGATGGAAATCAGCGAGGACGATTTATGCAACATCTGCTGACATCTTGTTGAATTCAGCAAAGAGCAGCAGCAGCAGTGCAGATCAGCTAATCACAGCCTGTACACAAAGAAAATCTACTGGAGCTCTCAATAGAAATTCTCATGAGTTTCCCCCACATTGAGCCATTACAGCTGATTTTAGGATCCCCCACCTGCTGAATCCCACTTTAACCTCTTCCCTACTTATTTTCCTGTTTAAAAGCCTCTACAATGTAGGCAACAGAAAATAGAGAGACTTTTTATTTTCCTCCTTTTTCTCTAAAATTCAGACTAAAATTCTATCTACCAATATTATTTAATTATTACATTAGTATCACACAAGGTTCAGCGAGCTTTGCACAAAAATAACTGGTAGAAATATTCCTCAAAGAGCTACTTTTACTTTCTTACTTTGAGAACATTTCAGAGCCTGTACTTTTTCACTTTTACTTGAGTAAAGAAGTAGCTTCAGTACTTCAACTTTTACTGGAGTATTTTTTAACACTAGTGTCTGTACTTCTACTTAAGTACAGAATGTCTGTACTTTTGCCACCTCTGGTTTGGAGAGCTGAGACTGTGCTGCGGTTGTGTGGTATGCGTGTTTGCTATTTTTCTTTCTCACGCACTCACTCACACTAGCGCGTGCGCATACACACAGGGGGAGATTATAGCCAGCTGTGTGTCTCAAGACCTGGTCCAGGCTTCTCTCTCTGCTGAGTCTGCTTACAGCCCATACCTCTCATTGCATATGAAAGACTGGTGAACTGCAAAGGCACACACACGACTGGCGACACAATAGGCTGCTTGTTTACCAGTAAAGTAATAGCACCCCATGAGGCATACCAGTCACCTCAGCAATAGTGTTCCCAGGCCAGGAGACCACACTGATGAGTTGGTTGAGGTGGGGGGTTGTTGATGTCAGGCTAAGAGAAGACATCATCAATTCTAATCATTGCTTCCATGAAGATGGAGTAATTGTAAAGCAGTGTGTGAGGAAGCATTGTGGTAGCTGTTAATCCTAAACTGCGAACGCTTCTGTTCGCACACTCTGCACTGTGACATACATAACTTCACCTTCTTCTCAATAATCTGATTTCAAACACTTCAGCTGAAAAAAACAAACAATTTTAGCTGTTGCTTTGAAAATCAAGGTGTTTTCTTTGTGTGCTGCCACAGCGGCTTCTTTACCAATCAGGAAGATCGTTATCCAATTTGGGCCAACATAGATGTGCTCCCTTCTCTTTGTCCCCCTGCAGCACATTTTCGTTTTCTTCTGCTATCAAATCTGGCCATCCCATGAGATTTCTCAAACATTGTGTGGGTCACAGGACAGCAAACAAGGCCTTTATTCATTGTGGATAATGTTCTCCTGTGCAACATGCTAACCATCCAACCCTTTTTCTTCTACACCTTTCTCTCTCTTGCTTTAGCCCTCTTTTGTTATGCATTCTTTATCTCTGTTTTGACCCTCACATTCCCTGTCTGCACCCATCCCCTTTCTCCTGGTATCTCTACTTCCCTACTGTTCCTCTCTCGCTCCTCAGCGTCTTTATCTCTGCTGACTTGGCAGAGAACAAGGTCACAGAAGAGTTTTCCATTTTATATATTTTGCTATGCCTAATATACCTGCGAGCTTAGATGTCTTTGCTGCTCCCCTTTGGTCTCTACAGCACAGGGTGTTTACTTGTGTATTCACTCATTTAAGGACTTCCAGATAGCCCTAATCAGATTATCCTCTACAAACAAAAAGATTTGTTGCAGTTGGCCATCGAGTTCCTTTTATCCTCTTTGCTCCAAGGGCTGCTATGACTGTCGAAATAATCCTGCAAAAACAACCTCGATTCGTTACTGATGTTGTGTTTGCAGTCCCTAACCTCTACGTCTTCATTCCTTTTTGTATTATTCCTCAGGTAGGCCAACCAGCAGGGGTAACAACCGACGCCCCCAGACCCGTGGGATTGTAGAGGAGTGTTGTTTCCGTAGCTGTGACCTCAACCTACTGGAGCAGTACTGTGCCAAACCTGCCAAGTCCGAAAGGGACGTGTCAGCCACCTCTCTACAGGTCATACCGGTGATGCCCGCACTAAAACAGGTACGTCTAAGCAACAACAACAACAGGCCAGTATGGGAAATAGTGCTAATCCCAGCTCTATCTGTCCTCCCATCTCCTGTGCCCCCATTCACCTCTGAGCCTAGCCCCTATGTCACTGACTCTTGAGTACAGTGTACCCATGCTAACGCAGTTATATCTAGTTAATTGGCCAATGGAAAGCACTCGACTTACAAAGAAAGTGCTGACAGTCATGGAAAACATCACAAAAGTCACAACACGTTATATTCAGGAAAAGGGTGGGGGGTGTTAAGTGCATATATATCCTGTAAGATGGTGGACAAAATGTATTTGTGCCTGTCCCGAACCACCAGTTTCAGATCTTTTTAATGGATTCACAAGAGCAGTTGCTTGCCAGACCTCTTAAATCCAGTTAAACTTTTAAAACAAGCCTAAAAAAGATGTTTTTGCTTTGACTGCTCATAAAATCAGTACTGGTGGCATGACACTGCTAAAAATGTATAGATATAAATACCGTTACTGAGGAAAGTAATGGGCATTTGAAAGAAAGAAAGAAAGAACGAAAGAAAGAAAGAACGAAAATAAAAGGCTGTTAGGGACTTAGTTTGGACATGTCTCTAGTTTTTCTGTGTTGGGAGAGTTGATGGGTACAGCCTGCTCTGAGGGCCAGCTGTTCTTGGGCTATTGAGAAGGCCTGGAGTGAATGAAGGGGGATAAACACTCTTCAAGTGGCAGGACCAAAACAAGCCATTCAGATCTAGCACTGGCTACTCACGCATAAATTCTAGCTCCATTGCGACCCCTCCCGCTTTGTCCCTGGTGCTCAAGACAACACCTAGCATTGTTTAAAGAAGTCTTCTGCGTAAGAATTGAAGTTTGCGAATTGTGTTTATGTGCATTTCTGCGAAGGCTACAAAGTTCAATGAGTGTCTGAGTGAGTGCCGGCTCCTCATATGTATATGAGACAAGTGACCGCCCTTCCCTTTGACATTATGTTAAAGAGGCGCTTGTTGACAGCTTCTCCCAGTCAAGGAAACTAAAACAAGGACAAGGCGAATCTGTTATGACGTTCAGCGCTCTAAGAATGACATTTGATTTCCGTTTCACTGGCCCAAAAACGACTGAATGTTTTCACATAATAAACAAGGCTTTCCTCCATTGTAATAAGCACTTGAACAATATCTTATCACCCTAATGAACTGACTCCCTCTTTTCCCTTTTCTCCTCTATTTTCGCCCGCACGCCACAATAGGAAGTCCCGAAGAAGCAACATGTGACCGTGAAGTATTCCAAATACGAGGTGTGGCAGAGGAAGGCGGCCCAGCGGCTCCGGAGGGGTGTCCCCGCCATTCTGAGGGCCAGAAAGTTTAAGAGGCACGCGGAGAAGATTAAAGCCAAGGAGCAGGCTATCTTCCACAGGCCCCTGATCAGCCTTCCTAGCAAGCTGCCTCCCGTGTTGCTCACCACGGACAACTTTGTCAGCCACAAATGAGCCCGCTGCCAGCCCTTTGCACAGACAAGAGTTTTGAGGGTGAAAAAAAAGACTAGGGGATTATAGCTTTGTCTCTGACGTCATTTCTGTGGCAGTCCTCTTTGACCTCCCCTGCCCTGTCTGAGCTCACCAATCCCTCCCCCTGCACATATCCACTACGTCTTGAACCCCTGGCCCTTTCCGAACTCCCCCCCTCCCCACCAGCCCACCCTCCTCTGGCACACAGACATGCCTTCACATTCTTCCTGTCTGAACTCTTTCTCTCCCACTCTCTTTCAGTCACTGATACAAAAGGCACAAACACAAATGTCGAACAAAAAGTTAACAATTCGGCTGAATGCGGTTCAGGTGGATCCTTAAGCAAAAGACAAAAAGAGAAGGGAAAAAGAAGATGAAAGAGATCGGTCGTTTGCAAGTGTCAAGAGGACACCTAGCGGAATGTTTTTTGTCCTTGTGGAAGACAACTGAAAGTGAAGAGCTGCTTGCATGAAAGAATCCATTCCACATCATTTTTCCTGAGGCGAAAAGAAAATCTCTGTTAGTTCTTTAGTTTGTACCTCTACCTATAAAGGGACTTCCACACTGTAAGGAATTATTTTATAAAATTAGATTCCTGTTCCAGCACCTTTTGATCACAAACAAAAAGCAGAAAAGAGTCTGCAAAATTGCACATTGCCACGGATTACGTCAAAGTAAAGAAAAAAATGGCACTATTTTTTTATGAACAATGAACGTGTAGCTTAAAAAAATGTCATGGTGCTAGCTTTGGGAATGGACTCAAAGAAGAGGTGGAAAAGCACGTTTTTTTTCTTTGAATTAATAATTAAAGCTTTCCGTTTTAAGGAAAGTGTGACTTTTTTTAAATAAAATAAAGGATATGGGGGAGCTCCTGGCAGTGGCAATGTCAAGGGGGAAGAGTCACTGAGGAAAAATATGGGCTGTGTTGGCATCTAGGCTCATGGTGAGTGCTAGCGGCTGCTATTTACTAGTTTGCCAGCATAAGCAGCAAGGGATGACCCGAGACCTAGTCCCTGTTCCTCCTGTCCCTCTGAGGCTGCTGGACACGTGGAGCACTATGGGGACACATACGGGACACCATGGACCACCTGGATTGGGACAGTACTATAGTTTGGGGACAGTACTTCCTGTTTGCCATGGCTTTGTGGACTGTTCTGGCAGGAAGTAACATGGCATGGACTAAGAACGAGTGGGATAATGATGATTATATTTTATTTTTTGTCTTTTTTCATATCAATGTTTCAATGAAAAAAAAAAAGGAAAACCCTGTCAGTTTCTGGTACCGTGACATTCCTGTTTTTCCAAGTTAGGCTTTTTTTTATTGTTATGATGTTATTTTACAGTTATAAAGAAAGGGAAAAAACAGCAATAATGTCAACTAACATTTTATTTTTATTGTATATCAGTAGTATTCACATGCTTTTGCCTGAAAACAAATACTTGAAACTATATTTATATATATACACGTCTACATGTATATATATATATCTATAGATATATATATATGTATGTATATATATATATCTATATATATGTATATATATATATACATATATATAGACATTCATATATAGATATATATATATATAGATATATAGATATACTATTAGTTTCCAGGGACGTTGTGTTATTTTCCTTTAGTCTGAGCTGTACCTTGCGTAATGAGCCGCCAAGCTTTTTTGTTCGTTTGTTGAAATACAAATAAGGGCACTGTATAAAGGCATTATTTATTTTGTTATAAAATATATTTGAAAAATTGGTCCAAATAATATACGTAGCACTGATGCTCAACTGCTAGATTTATTTTGTATGATCTCTGTTTTCCAATTGGAGTTGTAAGGCTTTTTTTTGTAGATGCTTTGTACCAAAAATGTTGTTTTTTTTTTCCTGTTTCATTTGCCATAGTCCTTTAAATTAATATTTTAACAGCAGCATAGCCTGGATTGCTTAGGCATGTTATGTCACAAAAATAGGCACATACTCTTAATCTGTTGGTCTGCATGGATTTCCAGGAGCCTGTCAGGGTTGTCTGAGAAAATGAAAGCATCAATGAGTAACTTTTTCATTGCTGGAAAAAAAAAGAGAAATAACTGTTCAACATGGATATTACTCAAACCCACTATGTTTTTTAAGCCACTTTAGTATTGATGGTAGGGGAGGGGGAATGACGAGTCCTTCATTAAACTGTGTTTTTATAAGTGTGCATGGTGTCCTATGATCTTCTAAGGAACATCTAATGCAGTGCCAGTCCCACTGATACTCTTAGTTGGGTCATGAGGCCATAAGTGTCCACTCAGCTGTGGAGTTGTGGGTTTGCATTACACATGACCTAACCAAGTCATCCTATTCATGCTAACGTTGGTGTGATGCTAGCAAACATCAAAGGTCATTTGAAAGTCACTGTCTGCCAAAGAGAGACTATCTATCTATCTATCTATCTATCTATCTATCTATCTATCTATCTATCTATCTATCTATCTATCTATCTATCTCTCGAAGTCTCTTTTTGGTATAGCACAGTGACTCTGTGCATCATCAAGATATCTTGATCTTGTGCATCATCAATATGCATCTGTATTTGCATTGGTATGTGTGTTTGGGGTTCGGGATTCATCCCTCACAATCTTCCACTAATGCATCCATTATGCATTTACTGAAGGGCTATCATGCTGAAACATTTCTGAAGCACTCAGGAAAAAAAATGTGCTCTCTAAGGGAGAAGTGGAATCGTTGCTGAGTTTAAGAGATAATCTTGTTGTGGAAGGTGAGCTGAGGTTGTTACCCATACCTGGCCACAATAATATAGTTCTCTGTAACAAACCACTGAAGCCCATGTCAGAAGCAAGGTCATCCTGTGCCACATTATCACAGTTTCCTCCTCTGTTGTGTCATGCATCACCCCCATGAAACGGTGACTCAATGGATAGTTGCCATATTGTGGTGTAGAGTCGAGAGAACACTTGTGTCTTTTTTCTGTCAGAGAGATCTCAATTATCAAGGCTGCATCTTGTCTCTAATTATATTCTACTTCAGTTGTGCAACAAAGCAGGCAGTGCAATTATTATTATTATTGATATTATTATAATATTTTATATTTTATTTTATATTTTCCTGCTAGGACTGCATTCATTCACTATTGTAATGTTCAAACAGGCTACTCTAGTGTTCTTATGAATGGCGTGGAAGACAACCACTTCTTTTCGCTGAATATGAAGAAATATCTTGCTGAGCAAAGGCAACTTCTTCTGTGTCAGTAGATCACTCAGCCTGTGTGTATTTTATTGATTTAACCTCTGCACGCTAGGACGTCCGAAATGCACAATTCATGTACTTTCATTTTTAATATCAATAAAAAAACATTTTATCAAACATTCGATGCTGATTCGCTACTTTGTTCTGCACATTTGCCTGCCTTGGATGTGTGCTTACATTTTTCTTTATATGTGCATTTTTGAAATCCCTTTATATCGGTTAAACCTTATGTACCCTATAAATGATTTATTACATCTTCGGGCCTTGCAAAAAAATCTCCAGCTGCTTTTAGCACCCACTCTCTTCCTCTCACTCACACCCTTTTTCTTCTCTCTGTCTCTCTCTCTCTCAATCCGCCTGCTCTTCAGACCTTCTCCTTCTGCATGCCACACTAAACCTGACCTGTTCTCACTGCCTTTGGCACACCCATCTGAACATCTATCCATCCATCCTCCAGTGGCTTGCCAACTACCGGAGTAATCTCCCCTTCAGAGGCCTATTTTAGTAACCGACATGTCTCAAATTATCACATGCATATTCTGTAAATGGCCCAACCTTTCATTGTTGACATGCATACACACACCCACCCATGAGATGTCTGTTGCCAGGCAGATTTACAACATACTATCTTTGTTCCCAGAATGGAACCGTTTGGGGCACAAGGTTATCTTTGTTCAACGGTTTATTGAAGTTCTTTGCAGTGTTTTAGGCTGGAATCAAAGACTTTGAATTTTACAACCATAGGTAGAGGATCTAATTTTCTTTGGCTTTGGCGCAAACTTTTCTCTTACAATGATGGGATGCACATGTGGCTTCTCCACTTCTGGCAAAGTGGAGAAGCTGGTGGGGTAATGTAGAGGAGCTCATGTTCTGTGTTTTATGGTCATAAATCGCTCTATTAAATCACCTTTGCCTGTCTCATGAAACCTTATTGCCCCACTAAGGAGTTTGTTCCCCCACAAAAAACAGGGGAAAACACAGGAAACATATACTATCAAAAATGTTTTGTTTCTGAAGCATGGCTCGTTGCGACTATGCGAGCATGTGTGCTCCATACTTGATCCCTGCAGCCAGGATGACTCTTTACAGTTTACATATTAAAGCAGGAACTGTGCTCCTCAGCATCCAAAGCAACACAAGACACCAGTCAAACCAAAAAATCTAAGGCTAAGGTGAAATTGCAGTAGAGCTGAAAGAAATTGCATTTTCATTAATGATTTCATTATTGAGTATTAATCCCTTTGTTGCATAGAACAGAACAAAGCTTTTCTTCCCATCTGTCCGAGGTATGCACGTAAATTCAGCAAGGGCATTTTTAACTTCTTAAATTTAAACGTACCATTGTGTCTAAATCTGGAGCTGGGACATATTGCCACTATAAAATTATCCTAAATAAGTAAACAATAGAGACAGCACAAAAATTGCCACCTCAACATAAAAGTGGTGGAGACAAATATGCCATAAACGCAAACCCACGTATCCATCCCCAACAGAGAGGCCTCCTGAACTGTGGAGTGGAGATGTGGGTGGCACAACTCTCCCAGGCCTGACATTGGAAACTGCCAAAGAGCACACTAGAGTTAGTTGTGGTTGGCCGGATGCACGGGATGCATGTAAGGCCAGGCCAACTATTGAGGCACAGGGTTTGGCAAGCCCAGACCATCACAGCCCAGCGTGGCTACACAGGCCAATTAAGATGGGCCTTCTCCTCTCCTTTCTTCTCCTCTCCTCCTCTATCTCTCATCTCTCCCGCTCTCTTTATCGCTCACTTTCTCCCTTGTACTCCCTCTCTCGGTCCTCACAAAGCGTGCTCACACATTCCTCTTTTCCCACTTTGTCTCTCTAATTGCTGTGGACTGAAAAGAGGATGGAGAGAAGGCAACGAGATTGAGAGGAAGAGACAGTGAGAGGGAGAATTAGAGGGAAAGGGGGTCATACCACAGAAGCTCTATGTCCAGGACAAACTGTATTGGCCATCTGGAATAGTCAAAACTCTTGCGTGTGGTGTTTATGGTTACAAGCATCTAACACTTCTTCTGTCAATAATGACACAGGAAGATAGTCATTTGGCTAATTTTCACCCAAAGAGCTTAAGTTGGTAATGCAAAACATAATTCAATCTGCATCTTTGCATTGGCTCTGAGGTGGTTACAGCAGAGGCTGAGTATAAAGAGGGGATTGTGTTTCGTCAGCGCCCCACAAAACTCCACAATTGTTGATTCCTAATCAACCAGGAGCTGTGACGAAGCTTTCCTAATTATGTAACCGTAGGTTCGGACATATTAACAATGAAGTGGAAGTTTTAGTGGAATTTCTCCAAAGTAAAACTATGCGAGGAGAAGAGAAGGAGGTCAGGTCTTCTTCGTGATCCTGTGTGTTTGTTTATATTGTTTACATTGTTTAGTTTGTTGTCATAAGTCTTGACTTTTTTTCTCGTTCTTTTCAGTTGATATAGACTACATCAGAGTTTGTAAGTGTAAAATAAAACTTTGGGGGGTGTGACGAGGTAAGAAGAAAGAAAAGAAAGAAAAGAGCTATATGGGGACAGAAAAACAACTCCACAATTTCAGTGTTTGTCTTCCGTCTTTGTCTAATGGTCACTTAAAAACCATGAGAATGATCCATACAGCCCACTCGCACACTAAACATAGACAGTTTTGAGTGCAACATTTGTAAAGTTTTGCAATTTTGAGGCTTTTGGTGTCTTGGTCAACAAACACTGAAAGGTCATAGATGGCAGAAACAGAAGAGCAACGTGGATGTGACAAAATGTGATGGACTGTAGACTGCAGGGCCTGAACATGGGAAATGAGGCGGTTAAGCCATATAAAATCAAAACAAAGGGGGAAGTGGTTTCCATTGTGGTCACTGGGTCATTGCATGACAATTTCCTCTTACTGGAAAACAAGGGGGTCACAGCTTTACACTTAAATATACTCTGTGTGTGGTGCAGACTCTGCCTGGGCTATACTTACTCACAGGGGTTAAATGTTACACTCTACGGGCTCTTTAAGGATGTAAAACTATCTGCACTTTCACACAAACAAAATTAGTGCGTGTTATCCATACTCCCCAACTAAGATTGCCTTCATCAATTTTATTCATTTTTGTATCGCTAAAGACTTTTATTTAATTGGAGGTGTTGCAGGAAAAGTGAAGTGGGTGGCAGTAAAGATTTAAAAGCGAAACGCTGCACTTAATTAAACAAGGTCAGCATCTTGGAACGTTTAAAGTTTCAGAGTTTTTAACTTTAACATTATCCAGGTGGGTCCTTACTTTGCTTTCTCAGCGCATTCATCATTGTTGCATGTCAATGTCAGTATGTGGAGGTCACCGGGGCACTACCCGCAACTATATGCACACACATGCGTGCGCGCAGGTAATGCATTCCTGTCAAGATTCATTAAAAACATTAGAGGCGGGATGGGTGTAAAAGTGTGGGAGAAAAAGGAATTCTTTTGCACTGTACTGTTACAGAAAAATTTAAAAGAAGCTAAAGGCAGACAATCACCGATGCTGGCACTTGTTGTGGCAGTAGAGGCACAATAAACCAGGCAGCACAATAACCAGGGACACTCCCCGCTATGTTTGAACAACATATAATTACAGATCAGGATAGGAGAGCCCATTCTGAGGGGAAAATAGCAATCTCTCTTAATTACAAGGCAGGCCATGATCCATACCTATCCCTCACTTCAAATAACTCTGCTGGAAGACTCTCTGCTGGAGTGGCTGGCAAAATTATTTCTGTTCAGGTAGCGCTAAGCAGCACAAGCTCTGAAAGGACTACAAGCTAAAAGGAACTCCACAGACCGATGAGGAAATTCACCGAGGAAATTCCAAGATTTTATTGCATGAAACAAAAAACAAAACAAAAGAAAAATTTGCTGATCCAAAAGAAAAGAAAAATAACAACATAGCAGGGAAACAATCTTCGCTAACTTCTGCTCAACATGTTTCTCCATTTTTATAAACCATGCGCAAATCCCTTTGGAACTTATTATGGGTTTTGAACAACAAGTGTTGAGTTGGACTTTTGTACATCTCTTGAGCAAGTTCCAGGTTGTGCGTCCAGCTGTCGGGCTCTCACACACAAAAACAGGCTTCAGTCTGAGTCCCCAGTGAACAGCGTCGGCTACGGTAGAGGTTCCTCTCAGGCCAGATGAGCATGCTAGTTATCTTCCCCATATAAACAAGATAAGCTCCATTTCTTTGGCCCTCACCAGGGTCCAGAGGTTAGAGAGTCCATTCTTTCTATTACGCTCTTATGGTTCCTCTCTTTGACCTTTTAATTCTTCTTTTTCTTTTTATTGTTTTGTTTTGTGTGTTGTAAGGATAGGTGCCGTGTCTGCTTATTGTCTGACATGTAACTTCGTCTAATTTCAGTTCACGTCAATTTTATTAGTTCGCACCAACAGTCAGCTCAGTTCCCTAGAGTTTACTGGAATTTTGTTTTTTAATAAGTGCAGCAGTTTATCCCGTAAACAAGCACCTTTCTTAAGAATGACAGACATTCCAGATATTGTCGGAGCCCACACACCAAACACAAGCAAACACAGACGCACAACAAGGAGAGTGAAAATATTTGTGAGGAAATTGCTCGAGAAGGACATTGCAACTGTGCCATTTGGCTGCACCAAACCATTGTCCGCTGAGACTTGCCATGGAAGCTGGCAGCAGTTGTTTGTGTCTGCTGTGCCATCGTTCAGCCCAAGACCGTCAATTTCATTCTCATGCTTCAGTGAGGTGGATGGGGAGGACATCCAAAAACGTATATAGTCTCTACAGTGCATTGTGTCTGTGTGCGTGCATGCATGTAATGCAGTGGCAACATTATCCCCTCAAATTAACGAATACATGTACGCAAACACGAACTAATAACGCTGCACATGCAAACATGAAAAGCAGACATGTAGACATGAGCACGCACATTTACACACACCGCTCATATATGAACACATGCGCACATCTATGCACATGCATTTATGTACACTGAACTCTGCTAATGATGGGTGGCAGTTCGATGCTTGTGTGTGTGTTCCAGAAGAATTGGCATTACCACTTGGGCCAAATCAGCCGCCAACAGCAGCAGGCTATTAACAAAACTGTTTCTTTGTTTGCT